TTTTTTTAAAAAATACTTCACTTATAAGATATATAATAATTATAATTTTTAAAATTTTTTGTTTCTTAAAATGCTATCCGTAACAATATGAAATATTACTTGGATTTGAAAAATAATCAACTGTGCTTGGAAAAGAATTTGACATTTATGAAATGCAAAACGTGTGACGATATAATAAATGAGAAGCAATTTTACTTGTTAACAATATCTAACAATGACCGTAAAATGTATAACTGTCAAATTGTAAATGCTTTGTATCTATTTTGAGAATTTTATATTTTTAAAAATTTTTACAAAAGTATTAAGAGTAACTTAATTCTCTATCCAATCTTTTGCTCTTTTTCATTTTATATTTTTATATTTTATATGTTAATTTAAACTTCAGCTCAAACACGAACAGATCTTGAGAGAAAGATAAATGAATTTTCTACAACAGTAGATAAATGATCATTACTTAAAACAAAATAAGTATTAAAAAATATTTTAAAAAAATTACGAATTAATTGCAATTTTGGAAAAAAAAACTCATGTTAAGTACACTAATGAAAATTGCTTTTTCATCGCTTCAAATTAAACTGTGTTCTTACATATCAGAGGGTTACAAATCTAAATTAGCCCATGTGATATTTTTTTTTACGAATTTACCTGTAAATTCATAATACAGTAATTAACGATTAACTCTTGTAATCATTTTTCTACACACGTATGTTATTTCAATTTTTTTCATATATATATTCTCTCATAATTGCTGTTTGATGAATTTATATGGCAATAAATATTTTTTATTGCTCCAAACGAAGTAAATTTTCATTTCAAAGCTCAAGGATATATTTTTCAATACAACGGTTTTGATGACAAAACTCTAAATATTTTGTTTATTTGAAAATTATTTGGATGAGTAGAATATTTAATTGAATGTAGGTGGATGTTCCCCTGCATTGTTATGAAGAGGCACTCGTGCGAAGTTCCCGGATCATTCCTTTTAACGAACAATTTATTTTTTGCTCTACCACCCTTTTCGACAGAGACTAATAATTAGATTACTATTATTTTTTTTTATTTTAAGATGACTTGTTAAATGCTTATTATGAAAAAAATATTTCAATTGCTTTTTTTTAAAACTTTTTAATAAGATCAATCAAATTCGTATTATCAATTTACCAAATAAGATCATTAATAACAGATTCGGAACATAACAGAACAGAATTAGTGTAAGCTAAATTTTTACTTTATAACCAGCATAGAACATCCTACCCATTTTAGTGTTTACGACTATTAAGATTCAACTCCATAGCTTTGTAATTTTGAACTAGCCGATACGAGTTGGGAGTAGAGACTCTATCGACCACCCATCGCTGAGATTCAAATCTGGGTTACCTGAGCCCCACCCCGCCTCTTATTTCTAGATTGTTTTCGTTACGATTAGAATATTCACGATCAGATGATTATCTTAACTTATTCACAGTTGTTTAAAATTATATATAAGTGGAGAAAACATAGAAAAAATTACAGAACTACGAAAAAGGGAAAAAGAAAAAAAAATTATAGAAAAGGAGAAAAAAAATTAATAAGAATCCGGAAAATAAAAGATATAATCTTTTCATCAGCTCTCACGGAGTGCCGCAAAAAGGAGTGCTTTCTAATATTGTATCAATATAGCAATAGGAAAATATACGTGTTAGCTAATGAAGATTTATATCTCTTTTTCTTGGGTTTTTATTATTATTTTTTTTAAATAATTTTCTTTTTCGCTTTTTTGATTATTCGGTAATTTTTTTCACGTTTTCTCTAATTTTTCTGCTTTTTTTTTAAAAAAAGAGTATAGTTAGATCAAAAATTTTAAGTCTATTCTTAATCGTGAACTATTTACTCATTTATAGTGAGAAAAAAATCCAGTGTTATAAATCTTAATTAGCAGTGGTAGTCAAAGATATATTAATTTTCTTGGAAAACATGCTGTAAATAGTTCAAAAGAAAGTGTTTGACTCTTTTTCTGATAAGAAACAATCCCTGGAATAAGTATATATATTTTAAATCAAATTTTATATCATAAAGAAAACTATTAGTTTGTCTAAATAAGGTTTCGTACTCGGAAGTTGCAATGATGGTTCTGATAATGTTTGTTTTCAATGAAAGTGTTTTTAATTCAACTCAGAAATGATTATTGAATTAGTAATATCGAAAGTGAATGCTTCGAAGCAAGTTTATTTTAATGCATTTCCACGTGGCAGCAGATTTGGGCGGCATTCCTCTTTATAACATGTATCTATAAAAGAATGGTTTAATACAGCTTATAGTTCCCTTCTTATCAGTGGCGTACGCAGAATTTTTTCAAGGGGCGTGTTCATAATTTTCTGAAACTACTAGGAGAAATTCGAGTTTGTAATAAAGCACTATTATTTCCCTAGTTTAGACAGCTAGATAATTTTGACTTTTTATTTAAACAACATTGTTTAGTTAAATTTTGATTTGATTTTTTAAGTTCAAGAACATAATATAATATCTTCTGAAAAAAGTCCAATGTCATATGGGTGGGATGTAACACTTTGAGGGCCACTTTCACATTCATCAGATTTTGTTATGCTAGAAACGTTTTCTTCAACGGAAGTATCACATTTCTGTACAACAGTAAAACTTACATTGGTACTAGATGCTGTCACCTCACTAAGTTCAGGTCGTGATTTTTTCTCAAAGTAATTAAAAATTGTTAAATTCTAGCTTTTTGACATCCTAAAGATCCAAGAACAGCAAATATATATATATCACGTGATTTTGGTTTCAAAAGTACAACCCTATTATAGTAAATGTTTTTTCTGTATTCTGAGAAATACCATGAGAAAAAAAAGTAGGCATAAGGCACATAAAAATATATAGTCTTGAAAAATAATAGCTCGCATAATTTTTACTAAAATTTTTATTTTTGCCATTTTGTCTGAGCTCAAGGGGGGTGTTTAAACCCCTAAACCCCTCTCTCGCGTACGCCACTGCTTCTTATTATCCTCACATAGTAGAATCCTCATTAATTTCCTTATTTTTTTTTTATTTTTACTTTCTTAACCCAGTTTTCAAATTTTATTTAACTTCCTATAATGTGAAATAAGTGCGTAAATATAGTTTGTAATATGTTTTCCATCTTATTGTCGGTGCATTTTCTTTGTCCGGAAAATCACGTGGTCTATTTTCCCACTTTAATTTCCATAGCGTTTTGGTTGCCATCAGCATAAAATTTATGAAAGTCATAAGGGTAATGTTTTTTTTTTCATAAAATATATTTGTATCACTAATTTTAAGATATTTATCTGACATATTTTCTTTCTTTTTTTAATTCTTCTCTGCAATTATTACGTTTTTGACCTTTATAGTTTTCAAAATTAAGAGTTTAAAAGGAAAAAAGTTGTTTTTTCATTCTGTGATATTAACCTAATACACTTCATATTAAGACTACCTTAAAGTCAATGTCTAAATTTATGGACCGTCTTATCATTACTTTTCAGTGAGATTTACTTTAATATTGCATTATAAATGAAATAGATTACTTAAATGATTCAACGATGCGATCAGCTTAGTACACAAATTGTATTTAATATATCTTCGTGAGTCGTGATGGCTCAGGGGATACAGCTCAGTGGATCATGGGTTAGAGTTCCCTTACCGTCAGGCTAACCATGAGAGGTTTTCGTGATTTTCATCTCCATATAATGCAAATGCATGTTAGTACCGTCATCAAGTCCTCCACGAAGGCAACATTTTTCCCAATACTTAATCCAGGAGTTCCTTTGTCTTCTGGAATGGGTTCAAAATAACAAAGCCATGGAGTCAAACATTGGTTGTCGTATATCCAAACATTGGGTCGGCTGTTCAACGACGGTTATAAAAAATAAAATATGATAAAACATTATGGTAGGAGAATTACACTTTAGGCAACCTAGTCAGTAAAAAAACACACCTACGGATATTTATCGTCTAAAGGTTGAATGTCACGTGTCTGACAAGTTCTTAACTAAAAGTTTGCGTTTTGGTGGCCAGTATGGTTAAACCCAGTGGTCTAGAAAACTAGATATTTTTGTAGTTAACCACAACTACCTTATTACAATCATAGTTAACTACCACTGCAACTACTTTTTATTAAACGTAGCGACAATAAACTTCTTTCGAAATGTAGTTACAAATTCGCTACTTTTAGGAGGCAAACTTAACTGGAGAACTTCATCAATATTTAAAATGATTATGAATAAAAAATTGGCTTGGTTAAATGTGGAGGGATATTAAGAAGTTTTAATTCGTGTTTACATAAAATAGTTTTTTATTTTATTTTAAAACAAATTTTTAGGAATTTGTTCTTTTCATCTTCAAACTCTATTGCTCTTCTCTGCAGTGATTTAAGAAATGAAAGGAAATTATCAAATATTTGTGATTTAAGTGCTTTTTTTATAGCCTCCAAGAAATAAAGTTCAGTGCCGAAAACAAAAAACGGACCACCCTGAATAACCTTTGATCTAATGATTGGATCTTCACGTTCTAGGACTCAATCTTGATGGTTTGAGGGGGTGACTATGCTAATTAATTAAGGCGAACAATATTTTAATTTTCGGAACCAGACACAAAAACGTACTTTATAGTTCCTTTGAAATCGAATTTTAAAAATCGAATTTTTTTCTGCCGCAGAGGCATTCTCACTGCACACATTGACGGGCTCGCGAAGGATTTGCACCAATTAGATTCGAAATATCATTTACGTTTGAACTTTGTTTCTTTATTTAACTAACGTCAAAAGTATTGCCAGGAATCACTATAAATTACCGATTTTTTGCATCGCACTACACTTAAAATGTAGCGCACTACATTGCAAACTACGGAAAAAAGTACAGTAGTTTCTAAGTACAGTAGTTTCGCTACTCGTAGCGAACTTCCGACCACTGGTTAAACCCTCTACCACATCTTCATGTAGAAAAGAATAAAAACACTTGTGAATGTTTACAAAAATAGTGTCATTAAAATTGACTTTAGTGAAAATTATAATGTAGCACACAAAATAATGAAGCAATTTACGATTATGTTCCGTTGCTGCTAAAGTGTAGACATTCTACGGACTAACTAATTTTCTCAAATGACCTAGTTTATCTATTAAGCACTCGTTAAAGTAAAGATAAGATATTTCTGTAAGTTAACACAATATTATTCATTTTTGCTATCGATAAAATCTACGATGAGTTGATAGAATCAATCACTTTAAATCAGTTATTATGATTAAATGAATCTGACTTTTATTTATTTCTCAATGTCCAAAGAATCGACAGATCAGTTGATATATATCCGTCGATGAACAGCCGAACCAATTTTTGGGTTTACGACTACTAATGTTCAACTCCGTAGCCTTGTCATTTTGAACCAATCCAGAAGACAAGGAAACTCCTGGATCAGTACCCCCAGAGGTATTGATTTATTATGGGAACAGGGAGGGCTTTGCGACTCGACAGATTCAATCACCATTTACTACACGGGGAGTCTTCGGCCGGCTGGGATCGAACCCACAAACTCTTGGACATGGGTCCAGTGCCCTACCAACCTGACTATCCCGGCCGTAAATCAGTTGCTAGAATGAGATAATAGCACACATTTCCTATTCCGTACTTTAGCGGAACAACGTAGGGCAGTGCAATGAAAGAAACTTACCGCTGAATAGTCAGTGTTGTTGTTGTTGGTGCGGATATTTGTGAGGGAAGCCGTCTTGTATCCTGGATTGTCTCCTCCTTATGGAAAACATTTCACCATTCTGTAAGAAAAAAAACTCTAGTCAGGTGGGAAGGCATACAAGAGACACATTATGCATGATGTACAGCGCGCATAGTGAACACCCTCTATAACTTTTGATCAAATGATCGGTTTTTCTCATTATGATTCAATCTTAATGGTTCAAAGACCTGATCAGATGTGCTTTTGCTGCACGAGTATATCTGTTTTCGGCGGATTTCAAATTTCGACTTTGATTTTTTTAAAGTTCAGTGATCGATGAACACCAGTGGAAGAAAAGGTGAAAATCACGGTGGATCGAGGGATGGTTTCCAATGAGGTGATCTAAGTTCCAAATCCAAGCCGATATAAATTCTACTCCTGCACCGTCTACAGTGTTATTTTTTCGTCATATCGTTTTCATCCTATAATTTAACATATTTAAGTTTAGGGCCATCGACTCATTATAGTTGAATCCTAATACGTTAATATGATATCTTAAGATTATTCAGATTGTTCGCTTCTTATTTATTTTATTTTTAGCATTGTATATGATTTCATAGCTTTTTTTAAAAAAATTAGTACTGTAAAAAGTGTATAAAACTCTGAAAAAACGAGCCTTCCCCCCCCCCCGAGGGATTTGGGTTTTTGATTCCCAAGATATAGGTGTCAGCCGCAATCTGGAAAATAAGGTCCCTATAGTTTGGTCAGGAGAACTCTTCAAAGTTTCGACCGACCCCTTAATGTTAATTTTACTTTTTCCTATCTCGAGAACTTTTTAAGCGATTTAAAAACTTTTTGCACACTAGTAAAAAAGTAGTTTATCTAAAGTTAATTCCACGCAAAAAATGAATTTTAGCAAATATTTATAATTTTTAATTATTTTATTTAATAGTCAAAAAATTTTTGAATAGTAAAGTATGCAATTTTTTACATCATTTTAAAGTATCTAATTTTACATGACGAAATTCAAAATTTTAGCGAAATCCGTCTAATAGTTCATGAGAAATTGAATTTCAGAAAAGTCGTACAGTTAAAATTCTATTTCTCAGGAACTATTCAATCGATTTCACTCAAAATTTGTATTTTGCTATTTTAAATTAGAAACTTTGAAATGAAGTTAAAAAAAATATATACTTTACAATAAAAATTCTTTCGACAGCTGTTAATCAAAATAATGAAAAATAAAAACAATATGTATTAAAATTCATTTTTTGCATGGTATTTAATACCTTTCGATAAAAGATCTTTAAAATTGTGTGCAAAAATTGCTTAATATGCTTAAAAATTTCGAAAGATCTGGCGAAATACGCAAACCGTAAAATTAACATTAGGGGATTCAAACTTTGGACCGCTCCCTTGACCAGATTATGGAGGTTAAAAATCCAAATCTGTTTATCCCGAAGTTAGGAAGTACTTTTTTGTGTCTGATTTCTTGACTTAAAATATCATCTGCACTTATTAATTAGTATATTTTAAGTCACCTTCTCAAACAGGGCTCGCCACCGAGGACGGCTTATCCAACAATATACCCGTCCTCCTTTGAAACTAACCTGTAGCTTCTAAATAAATAAAAACATAATTTTCTCTTATTTATTACAAACATTTATATAAATTTCAGAATGAATTAGTAGTTACTAGGATTACATTATACAGTAATAAAAGAAATACTAGGTTACTAATAGTAACCTAGTATTTCTTTTATGAAATAATTTTCTTCTTTTATGAAATAATTTAAATGGCAAAGGCCAAGTTATCTGGAATGTCAATTTATCCGAGGGTAATGCGTTTTTTTAAATGAATCAAATAGGACGTTTGCCAGTTCCACAATCAAGCCAATGATTTACAGAGGTTTCTGCACAGAAATCTGAAAGNTTTTTTTTTTTTTTTTTTTTTTTTTTTTTTTTTTTTTTTTTTTTTTTTTTTTTTTTTTTTTTTTTGTAAGTTCATAGCAGAAAAGCCCCTTTCAAACGCTGCAGTATTCCCAGACAGAGAAAATATCAATTTCACCATGCGCAGTATGTTGCTGCATTTCTAGATTCAGGGGGTCATTTTAGAAGTGAGGAGCTCTTGTAAGATAACAAAAATTGCAAATGTATCACAAATATTAGCGGGAAAATGGCCGTCCGCGCGAACGTCGGATTCGAGAAATTCGTTGTCCGCTGGGAATTTTTGACCGCCGAGGACGGGTAGTTTTTCGAGCCCTGCTCTCAAACCCTTAAGTCCTAGAACATTAAGATCCGATAATTACATCAAAAATTATTCTGAATAGTCTGCTTTCTTTCTTATCTTCTTTTTTTTGTTGTTTTTTTTTAGCACATTACAAAGAAATGGATTGCGGAAGAGAGGTCCCATTCTACTTTCAAATTTTACTTTTCTCAACACAAAAAATATAAATCTTATTCTGAAATTTTAGGCTAGTGATATCCGTGCATGTCTTTACGATTTTAATCGGATCCCGAATAATCTCAAACCGTTATTTAATTCATTTCTCTACAGAATCAGCTTTTATGGACCGTTTGTTGATTAGCCGTTTATAAACTCTGGTCTTCACTCAAGTTAAGGATGATTTAATAATTAACGAATGAATTTTTAAAGAGGCGAACTTAAAGCTTTGCAATTATTAGAGAAATTTCGCCTTAGCTTCCCGTTGGTAAGATTGAAGTAACTGTTCATGCTAGCGTTTATTTTAGATGTATCTTTACGTGATGTTGTCGTGATTTACGCTACAAAGAAAAAAGCTACAATCACACTGTTTATAGTTGTTAAATGTCGTTTTCTGTTTACCTTCGAACTAAAAACATCGACATGGAATGCGAATTTGAAGAAATGGAAGGATTAAATTCAGAGATGAATCCGTTGATTCATTTAATGAAAAATAAAAAAACAATTTTATGATTTATTGCTAATCATTGTGGTTGTCTATTTGCATTAGTTCTGTAAGAAACTATATATATCTTCGCTCAAAATTATAAATTATATTTATTTTAGCTATACAATTTAGTTAAAAAATTTAAATAATCAATAGAAGTTCAATAATATTAATAAACAACATTCTTTATCGCCGAATTCATCAAAATCTACCAAATTTTTCAGCTCCCAGATCCATAGTTTTACATCTTGAATCGTTGGAATCCATAACTTTCAAGAAATCCATTTGTTTTGTGGTCATTTTCACTTATGTAAATTTGATATTTTTTCAGTGGCGCACCGCACATTTCACCAGAACTGACGCATGCGCAATTACTTGAAATCTTACTTACGGGAGCTAAGATAAATTTTCGAAATCTCCCTAGTATGTTTACGCTATGTAAGAGTAGCGATGGCTCAGGGGATCGAGCGTTCCAATGAGGTGGACCGGGTTCGAATCCCCTCTGATCGATATGAATCAGCTACCGGCTTACACCGACCACAGTGCTGACGTGAAATATCTTTGCAGTCAGGCTAACAGCGGGAGGTTCAAAATGTCCTCAATGAAGGCAAATTTCTCCCGATACTTGATCCAGGAGTTCCCTTGTCTTCTGGAGTGGGTTCAAAATAACAAGGCTACGGAGTTGAACATTNTTATTAAATAACAATAAAATCAAATATGTTATGTGAGACATTGAAATTCTTTTAATTTCTTTTTCTTAAATGCAAAAAAGAAAGTTGCAACAGAACTTAGCAACATTTTCAAATATGAAATGAAATTAAGTTTTGTGGAAAGTTGAAATTTTTTAGGAGTTTAATGAGTTGTATGAGTTTAATGAGTTTTGACCACAGAAGGAAAACAAAAAAGAAAATTTTACAAAATGAATTGAACATAAATGTTATTTTATGCAAAGTTAGTTCGCTTAAATTCTTATCCTAAAATTAGAAATTCTACAGTCAACATATGAAAGAAGGTAAGAGGGTTGTTTCGACTTTCTGACGTGGGAAAATAAAATATGTTGTTTACTTATTTTTGCTTACAAAAGGAAAGGTAGAACCCAACAGTTCCAAAAACACTCACACGTAATATTTGAACGGTCCCTAATTCTGCACCCTAACCAATCACAGCCAAGCATTCAGCAACGTTTTTCAGGGCTCTACATTTTAATGACCAAAGTAGAAACTCCGCGCAGTTTTGATGATAGCGCCTAGGCAAAGAATAATCCCGTGTAAACTTTAAATCTCAAAAAAACCTTTCATTATGCTCAGAGTAACGATAATGTCTTCACATTTCAAATAATTTTATTCATAATTATATATTATAGAATAGCAGAATTGTATGTCTCTTAATAATACAGTTTTTGTTACTATTAGAAGATCATTCCTTTTGATGATTTTAACTCATTAGCAAAATTCTAAACTTTAAGCAAAAATGTGCAATGCCATAAAATAAATAAAAAACATATTTTCATGTCGCTAACTAGCCTCTAATTATTTAATAAAAGAAAAAATGAAGTCATAATGAAATATGAAATACTAAAATTTAAGCCTCTGTTGTGTGGATCAGAAAAGATTCATTCAAGAAAAGTACAGTAAGTGGTTTATCATCCAAATAAGAAGTATGTCAGAGTTCAAATAGTGTAAAATGTGTTTTGATTAAAAATCGAACAATTATTAAAAAATAATGGTAATAGAAACAATTATTTTGAACGTATAACTTAAAAAATTATAATATTGATGCGTCAGAAAAAGTCCCTCAACAATGTATCAAGAAATTGAAATTCCACTGATTAAAATGCAATTTTTATTGTTTGAAGTACCCATTTTAAGAATATAAATTCATTTTCAGATCAAAAACTGAATTGAAATTATAAAATTGACATAAAAATGCACTTTTGTACAATAAAAGTAGAAATATAAGTGAGACAATTTCTTAACGAATGATGACAATTTCTTAACGAGATCATCGTAGGCCATGGAGTAGGCCATCTGGTCAAGGTCATGACGATGGGGCAATGTGGTCAACATTGCTCTCCCACCGTCTTTACTCCCCAGACAAACCCTCTGATCAAGTATCGATCTGTAAGGGAACTTACAGAGATCGAATTCTAAGAAACTAGTTTTGTTTAAATT